GTCTAACGGGACCCACTTTTTATGTCCCATAGTGAAGCGGCAACCCTAATTCCCAGTCTAATAGACTGGGCCACCCCCCGTGGGATAGGGCCCTGCGAGGTCCTAGTGTAGCAGTATGAGTACGGGAAGTAGAGACTATCGTCGAAGTGTATATGCAGGTGCAATAAGAGACTAATTGCTGGTCCTTCATGCGAAGGCCAGCGAGTGCAATAAATACAAGGTGCGCTTAGCTAAGGGACTAAGCGAAATGCACGACCTTCATGGTCCATGCATGTGCCTATCTATCAGCGCACTGCGCAGTCCAAAGGCTCGCAGTATACTTTTCAGGCACCCTCAGGCACCTGTCGGGTCGGGGTCCTGACAAATACGTAGCCCGTGGTCGCCGAGTAAACGTCAAACCTTTAGTACTGCAACCACCCAAAAAGGTACAAAGAGGTACCACACCAAAATATTTCAAACGCGTATATCTTAATAACTAGGAGGCCGTGTAAGCTCCGATGTAAATGGGAGATACCTCATATATACGTCTATAACCTATAAGAGTTTTGGACCAATCGGAGCTAACTAGACCTTAGGACCCTGGCGAGGAAAGGAAGCTGAACCTAGGCGTGTGCGTACCGTTATGTACTTTTTTGTCCCATAGTTAAGGGCATGCCAAGACCTGAACTCTGGCAGAGTTCACCCACCCCCGTGGGATAGGGTGAAATAGTGTAAAAAAACGTGAGATAATAGCTAGGCAGCTTCAAAAACCTCTAAATTAATTGCTATCCCCCCTAATCATTATAAACTAAGATAATCGAGGTGATCCAATTCGTCCGAAACCCTAGAGTTTAGCCTTAGGCCCCGTCGCAACCCTAACTAGCCCAGTTCCCGCACCCCATCAAAATATCTCCCATTTTTAATCGCCCTTTCCTCGATAATTACTAGGCGGTGTATACTCCGAAGCAAATAGGGGATAAATTAGATAGTCTATTATAACTTACCAAAATTTGAGGTCGATCGGAGTTCATTAGACCTTAGGAGTCAGGTCGAGAAAAGAACCTAGAGTTAGGTCGGACCCACTTTTTTACTCCCATAGTGAAGGGAAAGCCCTAACCTAGAGTCAGCCCTGACTCCAGCACCCGCCGTGGGATAGGGACGGCTCGCATCAACCCCCCTTGAAACTCTTGATCCGGAACACGATTCCCACTCCAGAGCGTCGTCTTTCGAACAAGATGAGAACCTGCTCTGTGATACTATCACTACATCTCCCATTGAAGCAGAAGTAAATGCCATGCAAAATTATGCGCCGGTGCAGGACAAAGAGACAAGGAATTCTGCGGAAACATCCCAAGTTTCGCGAAGAACCACCAGTTCTCCGCCAAAGAGTAGCACTGCTGCGATATCCTTCCCCCACAACCATTGTCGCCAGAGATCCTTGAGGAAAAACAGCTATGCGTTGAGCTTCTTAGAGCCGATGCTCATTGTCATACCCAATCGCGCAATTTCTCTCGAAACAAGAGGAGGTCCCAGCCAAAGGCTGGATGTGGTGCAGTCACAGGAGACATGCAGGACTCCAGAGTCTCACGGTGCCACTGGGGAAAGCAACAGTTCACCATCAAAAAAGAACTCCGTGAGCCCTGTCCCACGCAATCATAGCCGCTGGAGCCCCTCGGAGAAGGAAAAGCTCCCAGGCTTTTTGCGTGACCGGGAAAACATGTTATGGGAGGAGAAGGTAGATAGTTATAACCAAATTTCGACGAAACGGCGCAGTGCAAAGTCCATCAGAAGCCAGGCTTTCCAAATGGGGATCGAGGCTCACAGCAACAAACGTCCGACATTGAGTCGACCCGGCCTCGTGGTATTGAAGGTGGCAGTTCGTCCATACCAGATGAGATCCGGTGCCCTTGACGGGCACAAAAAGGCAACCGACACATCGAGTCAAACTCGGGGCTTGCCGCCAAGCCGCATCTTAGACGATAATGCGACGGTTTCATCCAGGGCTGTTTCTCGAACGCATTGCCCGAATGATAAGCTGGTGTGCTTCTCCGAGACAACTTTTCAGAAAAACAGTGTTAGGTGCGAGACCATGTCAAACATACAAAACGCCGATAAGTTGCGGAACATTCAAGAAAAACATTTGGGTCACAACTCTGCTGGCACTTTTGACTGGATATTGAATTGAACTTTGCATGCCCAATGGAATTAAGTGGCCTTGTGTACGTATGGACGAAGAATGAATGTGGGAAGAGGGGAACAAAGGTAGCACTACACGGTTATATGCCCTTATGTGACAAGGCATTCCCAAGGAAGGGGCCGGTGCTGCATACACTGGTTGGAAGGATAATAAGCCTGAAAGTGATCAATTTGAAAGGCTATAAGACTGCATAAAGAGCCCATGAAAAGTCAAGAAGTCCAGGGACTACTATAGACAGCTGGGCCATAAGGAGACGGTGATAGAGTCCAGGAAAGATAGACCTGGTGTCTCGGTAAGAGCCATGGTGAACGGAAAACCCAGGGAGACGCAGATGTAAAGAGAGCCAGATTATGAGACAGAGGGGCTTCCCACATGTGACATATTGGCCCGATGCACAGGCAATAATAGCAAAGAGACTTTGAAAAAGCAAGAACAGCCTGAGAAACAATGAAAACCATGCAAACAAGTTAGACTCCTCCGTTGATCAAGAACTATCATTTGCAGCGCGAGTCGAGTAACAGGTTTGAAGTACCAAACGAATGTCCTGCTTAGAGTCTATTATTCTCGTGGAAGCAAGTTCGCACTTTCCTACTTCGAGGGGCGGTTGATACTCCAGACAAGTGCGTATGGCTGGGCAGACATCCGGTTGAAGATGTGGTACGCACGCACGATGATTTTGACATTCCCATGAGGAATATTCGTCCACAAAACCTGTTCCACATTGTTGGACCGATCAAAATTTGGCTTGTCGCCCATGTTGCCGTGTTTTTCAGTACCATCCGAACTGACCACAATTAGGTCCAGATCATTCTGAAGGGTCTCCCCTGGGGGATCTGTCCAGACCAAGGACACCTTCAGTACTACGCCACTGGATGCAGTGGTGCTGGCCGACCTTCCCTGAACCCTCAGGAGATCTCCCTTACTTGGGATATCTACCAATATCTCCTCACTTGCACCTTGCGCGAGTGGTCCTCCCTCGCGATATCCACAGTCGGCCTGGTTTGGCAAGATCACTGAGTTGGACAGATTCACTCGACCAAAGCCGCTGTTGCTGTTGGGAGATGGGCCAGATTCGCTTGGAACATACTGCCCAGATAGTTCAACCGCTCCGTTGATCAGCAATGCTTTGAGAAGAGCTGCACTAGGCTCCTGTGCTCCGCTTTTAATTAGAGTCTCCCTCAGGACAGCAATGCATCCCGCCACCAGAGGAGTCGCCATGCTAGTGCCAGCTAGGAACCACCACTCAGGATCCTGACTTGTACCAAAGCTGGCATCAGCGTTAACCAGATTTCTAGACCTGGTTGATAAGATCGCGGTTCCAGGCGCAACGACATCAGGTTTAATGCGAGATTCCAGGGTAGGTCCGCGGCTGCTGAAGGCTGCCAGGCCCTCGGGATGGTCCGCCATCAAATCCTTGCTAATGGGACCACTTGGCCATCGGCGACCATACTCGATAGGAATCTCCGGACGATTATTCTCGCTTGCCCCAACGGTGATGCAGTTCTTCGCAGCTGCCTCAGCACCGATCTGCCTTGGGTCAACGATGCCATTCCTGTCCGCATCGATTCCATCATTTCCAGCAGCGAAGATGATCACCATGTCCTGATGGTCCCAGACGAACTTGTCAATTTCTCCGCTAGCAGGAGTATACGGCAGCTGTCTCCTTCCAGGGGCAGAAGATCCCCATGAGTTCGTATGAATTCGAGCACCATTTTTTTGATATGGAGGAGAGAAAAGCTGGCCAAAGTCGGTTGGGATTCCACCCAAATTATTATTTCGGTCAAGAAGAGATTGCACCACCAGGCTCGCCTTCGGTGCTGTGCCACGGATCTTTCCTCCCATAGCCGCGGAAAACCCATCTCCAAGAACAGATCCACAAACATGTGTTCCATGGCCGTCTGGATCGTCCGACTTTCCAGGACGCCCTAAGGCATAAAGCTGCTTGACTCGGTTCGAAAAGGCAGTATGAGTGTCAGCAGTAGAGCCTTTATCGAACCCTGTATCTGCAACAGCTACCACCTGTCCTTCACCCTCGTACTGAGTACCATTGACCTGGACAGGGGCCCCGAGAATTTGTGTCGCCCGATTGTTGAACAGTCGCGCCGGATAAACTGGTTGGATGACCTTGACTCCGTCAATGGCGGCCAGTCCTTCCAAATATTGATTTTGAACATTAAATCGAATCTTTGAAGACCCAGCATCCAATGTTTCAGGGTCAGCGTGTGCGGCTGCAGCAATTTCCGAGAGAACACTTGAAGACCTAGCGTCAACATCCTTATGAAGAAGGACGTCAACTGTTTGAGAGATACGGTCTTTTGGCACAGCAGGAAATGGCGACAACTCCATAGTTCCGGCTGGGGCTTTCAGGCTAGACTGAATGACAAACATGTCTAGATAGACGTTGACCCAGGAAACATATGGAAGACGGCGGATGGATTCGAGGTCGGTGCCCTTAAACCCGCAAAGGTAGGTGTTCTTGGATGCATATTGCTGGATATCAACGCCTAGACTTTCGAGCTCGTCCTCCTGCTCATTTGACAGGTGCTCGACCGACTGCACCAGGATATAGTCTGACTTTGCGGCATCCTCTGACTCGAGATCCAAAGCCTGAAGTACTGGGCGTTGTCCCTCGGGATCCAAATGGTTTCCGTTGATTGATATAATGGACATCTTGCTACGATTTTGGTAAGTTTTTTAATTATGCAGAACAATTGTAATGAAGACTGGGACTGAGAGGTTTCAAGGTTTCGCTGACAAATTCAGATAAAAGGCCAGTAGGGGGGCATGGGTCGCGTAGAGATCTACGACGAAGCTTTGGGAGTGAAACCGGGTAGTGCGGTCTCTAGTAAAGAACTTGAGGTATGATTGGCATGTAGACTGGGCGACAGTTTGCTCGTAAATAGAACTCAATTTTATTAATTAGATCATTCTTCTATGCTGTTTATATAGTAAGAGAGCCAGTCTTTTCATAGACAACAGGAAGGAGGGGGGGGAGCAGATGTGAAGTGTGTCTGTCTCATCACCGGTTCGTGTTCGTAAGGGATCCAAAGACCGAAAGCTATGGTCGTGTAGAAGCCGTCCGTACATGTGGTTGCTTTGCGCTTGGCATTATCTAGATCATGATACCAAGCTGCATTAGGGTCGACTGGTCTAGACTTGTTCGACAAACATCCGCTTTGAGTCACCCTTTGTCCTAGTTGATTGGTCAACCAGTATTAGGTTTTTTTATCGCTTGGTTCCCGTCCAGCCTGACCATATGAATTTACTATCGACAACCTTGGGTGGCATGTTGGCTTAAGATCTAGACTCAAATTTACTAGTCTCGATGCTGTAATGGGCACGTTAATCAAGTCTATTAGGCTGATTGAAATGACCAATGTCATCGATTTTTGATATTCCGCTTGCGCAAAGGAATGCAAACAGCCGTGGTTTAGTTATGCTAAGGCTGATTGTAGGCGATTAGTCCTAATCACCTCGCAAATGATCAGAACGTCGACAGAGCAGAAAACTTATTTGTGATAGCGTTTTAGGTTCTACGGGCCTAAACATTAAATTCTATTTCTGTCGCCACTAGAGCTTCAGCAGTAGCCCATCAGAATGGCTGAATGGAAGCAGCTGGTCTGCCTCTAACATATGCCGGCAATGCTCTCATGGCCGCTGGGTGCGTGTGGCGGTCATGCCTTTCCTTCGTCGGAAATCCTGAAAACCCCAATTCTACAGTTTTGATAGGGTGCGGTGGTGGTCGGGAACATACGGCTACTCGCGGGAGCACGCACGGTGAACGAATCAGGATAGAGAGAAGTCGAGTGGGGTCCCGCAGTTGAATGGACAATGGAGCATAATGTTCAATAAAATTAAGCTTTGCGGGTGCATGGCGGCGAGGCAGATTAGGTAGAATTAATCCATGGTACGTACATTCTCCCGAATAGCTAACTGTCACACGCTCAGTAGCGGCGTAGATGACTTCCGGTTGCGAGAATCTAGAACAGGAAGTCCCAAGAAACTTTCCTTCATATTGTACGTCACAAATTGAGTAGCCTGGGTCTTAGCAGATTCTTTGTCCTATTATCTTAGCCGCCGTCATGGTGAGATCATCTTCCCTTCCCGCCTCGCGATAATCTTGTAGACGATAATTCAGCTATGGTAATCATCAAGGGACCCCTGCCAACTATTCAATATTATAAGTTTTTCAGCTCTATGATGCTTTCTCAAAAGTAGTCTAGGCATCGCAGAAGTAATCTCCTAAACCTCTTTCTACGCTATGTAATGTGCATCCTCGATTTATCCTGCATCCCTGATCTGACACTAAACTTTTGGTATTGACTTTTAATGGCACTCGAAGGTCAATCGTCTCAATTAGACTCTGTTGCCCGATAAAACACCATCCCGGCTTTAGGTGATCCAACATACCTGGTCAGACAGCCCCACCCATGCCTCCCGACAGAACTTCTGACCAGTTTTGTCGCGAACGAGAAGAATTTCACCCGGGTTTGCAGAATGGTGCCTTAGCTATTTAGAACAGCGATCTGTATCAGTGCAGCGCAGGAAAAGGCCACTAATCCAATTATTAGTGAAGCCTTGTGCAATTCGTTTCCGTCGAATGCCAGGCAAATGGTTCTGTAAGATCCAGGTTGATGAAGGTATCTCTCCGGAATTTTATCTCTGTAGACGCAAAATCTAGACCGCAGTATATAACTATCTATGAACGTAAATATGACGCGAATATACACGAATTGAAGAGTCGAAGAATTCTTATCCGATTAATGCCTAAAAGCCGCAAATGAATTATTTTTCGTACCGTGGATAGCCACAGTATGGTCTTCACCTTGCGGTGGCAGACATCTAGATCGAACTGTCTCTCCTCAAGTCGTATGATCAAATTTTAGGCCCGGGAGAAGTTGCAGAAGAGAATTATAGATGAAAAAATAAGAATTCAAACTCCTCAAAATGCCACTAATTTTTGCTATATACTTTGCCTAATATGTATTTAACTTTCTGTTAACCAGCCGACTACAATATGGCCCCTGCTACCCAAGTGAAAGCTCCAATTGAGCATGCCAAAGATGCTCAGGCAATGCTAGGATTTGTGACCTTTATCTCTGTTATTTTGGGAGTGATAACCTTCTTCTTCGATATGTACCGCAAGGGCAAGCAAGCTGATGATTTGGCACCCCTTTCAGACAAGAAAAATATGGGTCGGTTCGCCTCACAGAAGTCCACTCGACTCGGGTATCTCCTATTTTGGAGACGGACCGATCCAAAGCTAGTTCCCAGAGTACAATTAGTCGTGGAAATTGGAGACGATCTTCTCTACACGTCTTCCGTGTTTGATCAAATGAAAGTGTCCAGCCTCCCCATGCAAGTGAGCTGGGTGGGGATTTTTACTGCAATTTTCGATACCATTGCATACCGATGTGTGCGCGAGGAAATCGAAGTCAAGATCCCTAAGACATCCAGCAGGATTCTTAGTGATTCCATGCACGAGATTCGTCAGCTTGCGCAGAAGAGGCATAGGAGTTGCCCTTTTTTAGCAAGACAAGGCTTATATGACTACTATACGGGCGAAAGCCCTGAGCTGATAAGCTGTGTCCGTCGCTTCGAGAGGTACCACTCCAAATTTATTCCCAACACCGGATATCCACACCAAACATCGGATGGAGCAAATTTCCATGACAGAGAAAACGTCGATATCTCAATTCAGACTTCCCAGCTTCTGTCAAAGCATGACTCACATTTGTATTACGATCCCGACTATAAGGAATCGTCATTTCCATTCATCTCGGCAAATAAGCCTTGCCTACGAGTCTCCCGAGAAGAATTATGCGCCCTAGCGATAATTTTTGGAATGAATTTACGTTTGGGTCAGACTTGCGGTCCGGATTCACTATCCAGTGTGGGTGCTTTCGGTTTATCTCTATCGGCATCGATCAGCCCAGAATTGCATTGGCGGCTGCGACTTGTACAGACATCGAGGCGACCACGGCACGAACCTTCTGCTGGAAGTGGCTATTCCGTACTCTTTGCTAAATATCTAGCCTGCGGAATCATTCCATTTGCAAGAGCCAGCAGTCAGGAAAGAATAGATTGGATAAAGTCTGTCTATATTCCATATCAAGACAACTTGGAAGGATTTAAGAGAGGCGCCAGTTTTTTCCGATGAGCCTATTTCCACCGTCAGATCACCTGGAATTGCTACTTGACTCGATTACCTACCTCAGAATCAGCTATGGTCTGGTCACACATTCTTGACGAGCAGGAGGATGTTCCTAGTCAAGCTCCACAGCCCGAAGATTTTTCCAGCTGGGGTATGATAAAGAACCTTAATAACAAAGAGACTGGAACTTGGCCACAAGCAGTTTCTGAGATTCCATTTGGCGGTCTTGTGCCACAGACAACAAAGGAAATCCGGGAAGCTGTGCGGTTCACTATATCCGGCTTGCCGACCATTTTTGACAATCCTCACTATGAAGGAAACAAGTGCGACAATTGGCTTAACGAGTTGGAGATGCTTATTAATGAATGCCACCAACAAAGGAGTGAATCAAATTTGTTCGGTAATTATGTTAAGCGAAGGGCTGGAGACTTCCCGGACGAAGGCAGCAACTACACTTTTAACTGTTATGACACTCGAGATACTGCTGCTGTTTTCGGACGGTATATGACTCTCATTGAGCATCTTATTGCCATATGCTGTCCAAACGAGTCTCTTAAAGATATGCGCAATGTAGTCTCAGCGTACATTAAAGAGAGCTACATGACTGCAGTCCGGAAAAAGCGACAGGACGATGAAGAAAGTGACCAGTGGTCTCAGTGTCCCCAATGCCTCGGACAGACTGTCAAGGATGTCAAGAAAGCCTATCGAGCCTCTAGAGCAATTGATCGGGACCAGATTGCCAGAATTATATGCTGCATTATTGCAGCTTTGGCAGAAAATGTTAAAGTCATACGGCTACATTTGCGAAGGTCACCAGGAATGGCCTCAGATGACAATACATCTTATATGGAGGATCTACCCCCTTTCCTGGCATTATCATGATTAAACATACCGAAAACCCTGGACATGATCTTATTAAGAACGCAAGGATTCTCATACAAAATAGACGAGGCCATAAACTGCCCGCTAACAGAGTAGAGAAGGCTGAAGAGTCGACGTTTGATGCCAGAACTGAAAATCCTAACATAGGTCGGTGGTACAACTTCAGGTACGAGATGTGCGAGAGAAGCACGCGGGTTCACATATTGACTTGGGAGATTCCGGAGTGCTATACGTCTAAGAGTCTGACGTATATAGCTAACTAGCTTACCTAATAGAACGACGTAGAATCATGAAGTTCTATAAGGTATTTCAAATCATAGGTTATAAGATCACTATTGTAATAATCATAGATCATAAGATCACTAGGATTATAGAAGGTTGTAAGGTTTAAACCATTAATAGACCTTATAATAATACGTATAGCTAATAAGTTTTTATACCAATAAGCATTTCGGATCTAAGCCTTAGATAAGATATAGCTTAGATGTACGTTTATACTAACAGGAAAAATTAGAACTTTTTACATATACTAATGATACTATCTAGAAAAGTCTACCTACTAGTCATAATTTGGTTAATTTCGGATGACATATAATAGTTTACCGATAATTATCGTATCGACTAATATTCGCGAATACGATATTCGCAACTCAAAAAACTTGCCGATAATTATCGGATATCGTATCGACAACTTAAAGGCCTTGCCGATATTTATCGGCGGCGATAAGGTAACCGATAATATCGGCAATTTCGAATATTCGCAACAGCCCTAATCATACCAGCTTACCAACTAGATCAGTTCCAGTTCTCTTCGGCAATGCAGTCATCATTCATGTCATGTTGTATTCATGTTCGTCGCACTCTCGGGCTGTCGCTTCGAGGAAGCCGCGCTAGGAGCACGGGGCAAATTCCCGAGACGGCAAGTTCCCGTGACGAGTCCACCTTTAACCAAAAACTGTATAGTCGTAATAGGAGACCGCTTCTTGTAGACGGCGAGAGGTTAAGGCACTCCGCCGTTCAGGGTGTGAAGGCGGTGAGGACGAGGGCGGAAGACGCGATCCCTAGAAATCACAGATTTCTTTTCCCACCCTCGCTTAAGTGTTCGCTGTGTCGAGCTACGGGTCGCGGTCACTTCTGCCGACATGCGAAACTCGTTGAACCTTGGTCCTACATAGACTCAGTATGTTGAACATGTAAACCAGGTAGGACAAAATACCAGCGGGGACATGTGCACACGAGAGGAACAGTAACAGATGGATAGAGCACATGATCAGGAATCCAACCAAACTCGACGAAAATTGGCTGTGTGTCTCGCCGCATTGGCTGCCAGCGTTAAGAAGCCAGGGTCGCATAGGTCTGGGGTTAGTAAACCCTTCCACTCCGTTCCTTCGTTTCAGGGCACCACTACTACTACTGTAAATGACTCTTCAACAACAAACAGGGATAACTAGGTGGGTGATACATCGCTAGCAATAAACTTAATGGCTAGTTTAATTAATGAGGTCCGTGACGTAGAGAATAATATATCTACATGGACAAATGCAAGGCCGTGGAAAGATATCCTAATACAGACTAGTGCGCTCGAGGTGGGGCCTCAGGAATAAAGAGAGAGATTAGAGGCAATACTGATTTCGAATATCACACTGTACACTCTGTTGAGATTCATGGTGCACCAGGCATTACATGCCTGATCCGTCGAGGCATGAGTCTAGTGAACAGCATTGGACCTACCATTGAGAGTATAGCTCAGGAGAAATGCTCTCCATTTATATAGGAGAGAGAAGATCAGGCTTAAACAACCTCGCTAGCCTTGACATACATGCTTCCCCAGTACATTCATCGTGTAATTTCAACACACTCACAGATTGTTTCCCTAACCCTATCTTGAAACGCCCTGATTTATATTTGGGTTAGTTGCAGATCTTCCTTTTCCAAGAATAAACGCCGCTTTGTACGAGATGAAACAACGCCAAATAGAAAAAAGCTCCAGCTTCAAAAATAATCAGATATCCATGATATGAAACAAACCGTGAAGATTATTCAAAAAATAGAAAAGATCACGTCCAAACAAAAGGCCTGCCCGCCTACTCCCTGCCCTGCGTATGTCTGACAATATTCTTTCTCCTGTTGCAATTACAGCATCTCATAAAAACAAAACAAATTACACTCGAAGCACAATTTCCCCAGAGTATGACACCTTTGAGCTGCACCGTTCGAAACCATCGGTCTGGAAGCCCGTCGATTGGAAGGCTCTGGTTCAATCATCTCGGATCTAGAACCACCCTATCGGAATTTACCAGGGTTGGGCTAGTAACCTAAGGCAGCTCGATTTCAATATGATTGTCTCGGACGTTCTAAACGGATCGGCGGGGTGTCTTGATTCCAGCCTTCAAATATAAATCCAGTTCGTCGACATAATCATACGAGGCCTTGCTAGTGATGACCAACCTCTCATAGGAGTCCAATCCTCCCAAGGGCCATTCGGGCAAGGACTTGCGCGCATCACCCAGATAATACACAACACAAGGATGGCCATTCTCGTTGACCGTCTTCCGGCGATCAAACTTAGCTCCATGCCCAATAGGCGTGTAATCCGGAAGTTGTTTCTCTCTGAATCCAACCACCGGGTGGACAAACTCGAAAGTATCACCCAGCGGCTGCCCGTCTTTGTCTAACGGATCATAACTTCCTGGGGTGCGCTTCTTTGACCCGTTGAGATAATAGAATGGCGTGAAGCTGTCTTTCAGCTCACCCGTTCCCCAGCCATAGCTGCGTTGCTTATCCGCAGTCTTAACGGCAACCGTGAAGTGATTTCTCAAGGTTGCGGCTTTGCGTAGAGCCCATTGTCCCCAGGACTCATTGTAGAACGAGTTTTCGACAAGAGTTGAAATGTGGTACTCCATATCTGCTCTTTCCTTGGCCAAGTATTTTTCGTTGAGCGAGAGATAGGGTTTGATCTGGTCCAACATCCACGCAAAGGAGATACTGGACATTTCTTCCATGTCACCCTCGCCATTAAGTGTATCGCTCGATCCTCCGCCTATGTGAATGTGATATCCGGGGAACCACACCTGTCTCAAAGTTCGGGGATGATGCTGATGCTTGTGATCGTCTTCCAACTTCATTAGCTTTCGACTCTCTTCGTTCAAGGCTCTGGCCGTCTCGTTAAGGTGTCGGGCTGCGCCATTCACGTCCTCATCACTGGCCTTGCCGCTATCCTTGAGCCTCATTGCCTTTTGCAAGAGGTCGTCCCATTCTTGAGCCTTCTTCATGACTTCTTTCTTCTGGGCTTCTATCTGCTTTGAAGTCACATTTCCGAATTTCGGCAGATACCATAGGGTGGGTGAAAAGGCATTGCGGTGTTCATCGAGAGCCAAAGCCTGGAATGCATGTTTGACATCTGGAATTTTTGTCGGTATATATTTACCATGTAATCACCCAAAGCAAGGGAGACAGAGAATTTGCAGTATACTTACTGGATGAAAGTCCCACATTTTCCCATCCACCTTTATCCGACCACCACAAAAGCCATGATGGCAGCTTTACCCCCATAACCTCCGGCATTCCGATAGCACCGACTGTGTCATAAACTCCAACGACCTCCACTTCCCTCGAACCCTCCTGAGCCCAGTCACCTTGGGCACGCTTCTCAAAGACGAAATCCTCGCCTCTAGCACCCTGCTTCTCATCAGCCTTGCCTTCCATCCACTCAAACCAGAGATCACTGCAAAAAAACCGCTTCCCAGGCTCATTTCTTTTATAAACCTCCCAGAGTTCCGGAAACCGGTTCAAATCATGTTTACTGCAGATGCCAATGTCGGAGATTAGTCCAGCAATGGCGCGGGCCGTGAAGGCGCCTCTCGAGAAACCAAAACACATAATCTTATCCCCGGGATTATAATTCAGAACGCAAAAGTTGTACGCTTCGACAACATTGCCTTCCAGGCCCTGCCCGACGGCGCCTTCGACCTTCTTGCCCAGGGCGAGGGAAGTCGTGCCGATTCCGGAGTCATACCAGACTATTTGCTGCCACTGGTTGCCGTCTTTATCTGTTCCGACGCTGTTCAAAGCGCGGCAGAGACGTGTCACATTTGATGGGACGTTCTTCTTGCCTGAGACGGCAGACTGCGATGTTCCGTCGCAGCAGATGATGATGCGCTTGCGGATGGGACCAAGTTTGGTGTCCCGTCTCTGTTGGACAATGTATGGAAGCTCATGGAGCTCAGAACATAGAGACATTTCGTCGGTATACTAGGAAATAGTGATTTGTGAGAGTATATCTTGAATGTGGCTCAGGTAGGTGGACACAACTTTATTTATGTTGTTGTATCTTCCACGAGCCTCTATCATTGTCTATCACGTCGGATCGCTGGGGTAGAGTTTGATCGCTTTGAACCATGTTTCCTGTGCTTGGCCTGCATGAAGCCAGTTCTAGTTCCGCTGAGATACGAACCCCAAAACGCCACCTTCGTCACCCTAGGCCAATTTCGGGTCATTCAGTTGCCCCAAGTGCCACATTGCTTGTGTCCTCTTCAGATACTGCAGTGATTGCGGCTGTTCACCATATCAGCCCTACTTGATATGCCACTAAGCCAGTAATCACCCAAATAGTCTCTAGAACATGCGTGTCCGTTACCCACCCTTGCGACTGGTTCTAGGGCAGATTAAAGAGAGCGAATATGATCACATAAACTCATCCCAAGTTCTTAAAGATGAAAACGGACAGAACGACGTCAATGGCTGCTTGGTATTAGTAAAAAAGTTATTAATATTGGCAAAGGCATGAGAATAGTTCAGATTAATTGGTCACGAGATCACTGGCATAAACACCTCCCTGCTCACTGTGGATGCAAGATCCAAGCTGTTATCATCATACTTGCAAGTAATATATCTGCTGGGTCTTCAATAAAATCTGGCGTTTTCCCTTCGCCGGAAAGAAATTCATCTTTTCTTCATTTCCAATTCAACAGCTGCTCTTGGAAGTGAAGACATAACTGAGGAGCTGTGACCGCTGCATTACATGTCGCGTCATTTACTAAGGACTTTCTGACCCTATCGAATTTATTGGCAATGAAATGGCTTGCAATAGTTTCACATGTTTCAATGTTCGCCAAGTGATAGGTAAAGCGCTCTCCCATTAATGACTAGGTTGGCAGATAATACTGTTTGGAACAATCTTTCCAATTTATGTCACCACGGTATAGTCTCGACAATTTGCGGTGGTGAATGAAGCAAACCACTTTTTTAACTTAATTCAAGTCCTTGAGATAGTCTCCACCTTCGCTTAGCTAGCTAGGATGTGAACTTCGGTGGTACCTGTTCTAGTGCCACGTTTCTTTATCACGAACAAATCCGATCGATCATTACTCTGCCGCGGTGCCACTTGGAAGGCAAATCGGTCGTCTGTGGGATGAAGCGTGGTGCTAGTCTAAAGCATATAGTTTCGAAAGTTGAGAGCACCGGATAGAATGTGCACCTCGGTGCTGCTAGTCTCTCCACCACGCTTCTTGATTGCGACCAAATCTAGATAATAGTCCCCACTCTAGTCGGTGAGGATGAAATCGAAACTGTCATCAACCTCGTGAAGAGCGGTGCTAGTTTGTAATAACGTCTGGAAATACGTGGCGGCAGAGAGAATGTGCACTTCGGCACTATAGCTGCCGGTGTTACTCTTCCTAACCGCAATTAAGTCGTCGCGCCCGTCACCGTTCTAGTCGCCTATTAGGAACTTAAAGGTGCTATCCGTGGGATAGAGCGGCGTTCTAGTTTGAAGAAGAAAGGCTTTGTATTGCGCTTTCCTGGAGAGAATATGAACCTCGGTCTGGCCTGTATTAGTACCGTCTTTTTTTATCGCAACCAAGTCTAGCGACTTGTCGCCATTCTAATCGGCCATAGCAAATTCAAATGTCCCATCCGTTTCCGGGAGAATGGTATCTGTCTGTAGGAGATACTGTTTGAAATTGGACCTCCCTGATAGAATATGTAACTCCGTTGTCTTACTGGCGGTGTTCTGCTTTTTTATGGCGATAAGGTCTTGCACCCCGTCCCAGTTCTAATCGGCCACGAGGAAGTCAAATATCTTATCTATCTCGGATAGTCTTGTGCCTGTTTGTAGAATTGGCTCTTGGAAATTGGATCTAATGAGGGACGACCTTGTTCTAGTCAGAGTCGCATTTATTCGCGCCACTTTGACTCTTGGTAAACATGAACATAGCCGTATCGTCTGTATAGTCTATAAAATTCATGAACATATCCCCTGACTAGCCGTTCCCGCGCGAGATGTGAGAGAATTAAGGCCGACCCACGTTGGACCTAGCCTAGTTTGGGGTGTTATCGCAATAGTCGCTGCTAGAGCATACGAGACCATTATCTCCCTAGATATGATATACGTTCAACTAGTGAGCAACTTCATAGGTTGTTGTACGCCCGAGATTGAAAGGATGGATTGACGTGCTAGTAGTGCCGAATGCCGTATGGTTTATAACCACACTATCTTTTCCGATAGGCCCACCGGGAAACTACGCATAGCCAAGCAATTCCCGGCCGAGATCACAAACCTAGATATTGAGGTAGCGGTCGCTTAGCCAAGCGTTATGTCCTCCTTAAGTAGAAGTCATTCATTCTTTGGTCAATCTGATTGCTATTCTGGTCGAAAGCTTGGATGCTTATCCGTGTGCGAGTAATTCTAGAGTGTTGTTTTCCTTGCGGATCCCGTTACACGAAAGAAACGTACACGCGCTTCACCAAGCAAGGGTTTAAAAACTGCCGGAATTTGGTTGATGTCCGCGTTCTGCGCATTGAAGTCGGCGTTTAGTGCGGCAATTTGGCTATCAACTTAAGTCTCGGTGATATTTGCCGCGTCCCGATTATACACAACATGAACAACAACCGGAATCAATGCCACGCCGGACCGTAGAGTTTGATTTCGGCGATATAGATCATTAAAATGCTCAAGCGATTGCCTTGTGGGCTTATAGGCCGGCTCGGTATCATCAGAGAGCGATGATACTCATTGGTTGCACACCGGCGAGTCAGCTCTAGCGTATCTAGTGACATTATTCCAATGCCAAAAAGGAAGTAGAAAACTATATGTGAATGTATTAATTAAATTTAAATGTTCAAGTAATTTTCATGTGATCAATTTCGAAGGAAAAGTAAAAAGAAAGCACTGTCATTTTATACCATTTCTGGGCACCTGCAGTTACGCTCGAAGGACTCTCCCTACCCCCTCTTGCCTGCGAGGTCCGTGATTCAATGTCCGCGTGGCTAGAACTACTTCTGCCACTGTGATGTGGATGTATGACGCTGTACACTCTAGACCGATTCACGAAGGTTGTAGTCGCTACCGTGAAAAAAGACTTCAGCCTCGTAACACTTGCGTGCTAAGCCTTTGACAGCATATTGGCCGCTTTAGACGCAAATCTTCCTCCACCGCATATATGCATCATTTTAGTGTCATTTGTATCTGCTGGACATTCTACTACGCTAGAGAGATCAATCCACTGCTCACATCGGAGGAACTGGATGGCCGAAAGTCTCGGGGTCATGTGCTTCTTCGAAGTCTTGGCGCAGTCCATCATCTGCCAAACTACAATATTCAACCTTGTGGTGCGCGTAACTTTCACGGCTGTTTGCGGCTGGCTTTACGAGCCAAGCTTTCAGAATCCTGGAACAAACCGCTTGGCACCTCAGAACTCGGAACCAAACAGTTGCGCTACAGCTAGCCTAAGCTAATATCTTCCCAAAAAAAGAATTTAACTAATCAGCAATAACAGTTTCCCAGCTGACAGTTTTGGTGTCGATCAGGCGGCATTACGATTGCACAGGCCCCTTTTTTCTACGTATATCTACTGTTCGCTTGGAGTCTAGATTTTCGGACAGTTTTTGGGTGACATGGTTACTAGGTAATCGGCATTCTTGTGACTCACAGCATGTTCTGGCCCCAGCAACAGCCTACGAGATTTAAATATAGGCCGATGTCACTGAGCCGTTTTGCCAAAGTCTAAAGGATTTGATGGAATACAAAGCCAGAGAGGAACTGGTGATGATATTCTTCTAATGATTGAGTCGGCCAGGGGGGAGAAGGAAGGAGAAAAGAAAGAAGAAAAGAAAGAAGAAAAGAAAGGAAAGGAAAAAAGGAGAGAATAAAGGAGAGAAGGGAAGGTGGAGATGGGCAAACAATCCACTGAGGACCATCTCTATCTGAAGCCGCCACAACAGACTGTGGACTCTTTGTCGGAGTTTTGGGCTTCAAGCTGCTCGATCCGGCGTCTAGTCTCCAATAATTCTCCCTTCTCCAGAATGCTCTGCTTGATTTCCGCCGGTAGCTCACCAGGCAATCCAGGTTCGTAGAATCGCCGATTGCCCGGAAAGTACCCAATATGATCCGATTGATCTTCTCATCCAAATTGGCTGAAACTGTGTCCAGCGAAGAACGGTGTAGTAAATAGTCAATTTCTCTACCTAATAGCTTAATCAGGTATAGCTTTGAAATTAGCTTGCAATTTAATGATTGGTTCGTGAGGAAAAGGGCTTTTTCCTTCACACTATCATTTATTATGGCCTTACAGCCTTATTGTGGCCTTATGTATTGGTATTACAGCCCTTTATTACTATTTCTTAGTTATAGAAAGGGGTTCTATGTATTGTAGCGTATTGTGTGCATTACTAGTGTAATAGTAAGGGTTTTAGGAGCATTAGATTTAATAGACGTATAATTAGTAAGCGTAGCTTCGTAGTTATAAGCTATATTAATGCTTATATATCGATAGCGTATAGCGGTGAAGCTTTAACTAACAGATAGGGGACTCGGGGACCTACAGATCACCGAACCCCGCAGATGAAGCCCCCGAATATTAATAAATATACTAAAATGATCAGGTGATCAACTGGTCAGTTTTAGCATAAAGAGAGAGAATTCCTAGCAAAAATAAACACTCTCCATCTCTCTTCTCTCTTATTACTTCCATTTCTAGCTACTCTGCATTATTTGCACCTTCTCTTTATTAAGTTTATGATCCTATTACCGTAATAACCTCAAATACTCTTAACGGATTTATCTAGATACAGATATTGGTCAAAGTATCTTCCCACTACAATTTGACCCGGCAACCAACCCACTATTTTATTTTTCTTCCTACACCTCCCCTAGATGTCCGATTTTACTGGAAATGAGTTCAAAACGTCGTAAAACGGCTGAACTATCTACTGAGCAAAGGTTAGCTATTATATTTGGCCATAAAAATGGTATTTCGCAGTCAAAGCTAGCTAATGAATTCGAATGTAGCCGTCGGACGATCTATAATACGTTGAAACGCTTCGAGGAGCATTAATTATTCGAAAGCCTTCCCCGAACCGGCCGTCCTCTTACGCTAAGCTCTCAAGCTTCCACTTGCCTCTATTTATAAGCGCGCCGGCACCCCTTTTAGACCTAGGAATAGCTTAGTGCTATGACACCCGGTCATCCGTCTTAGTCTACTATATAGCGAATTTGAAAGCAATTCGGACTCGGAAAACGGCGTTCGAAAAGAAAGATACCAATTAAGCCCTCTCTTGCAAGGAAACGGCTAAGATTTGCGCGAAAATAGCGGCGTGAAAGCTTCTAATCGTAGATCTTCTCGGATGAGTGTTCGGTGTAGCGAACCTCGAACTTTAGACTACAATAGTGCTTCCGTACGGACTCTAAGGGTCTTCGCCGTAATCTTGTGAATACGAAAGTACACGTTAAAGATATTTCATAAATAGTTTAGGCCGGAAGCTAGATAGGAGGTCGAATAGATTTAATAATTATAGAGTAGGATAAAGAATCGCGGTTAGGAAGGGGTTATACTGCAAAGTCGTATATTTCGACGCTTAAAAAAGATCTAATGCCAATCTACACCCCTAATTTAGTATTTTAGCAAGATAACGCGACGATTTATCTAGTAGAGGACACGAAAGAGTGGTTTAAAACTCACGGAGTATACGTCGAAGACTAGCCCGCGCACTTACCCGATTTAAACCCAATTGAACCGGTATAGCGCTGGTTAAAATTGAAGCTTTTTGCGATATTTCTAGAGCTTATTAGCTAAGGAAGGTCGGAGGCAGACTAGAAATATTTTAAAAAATGCCTAGTGGAAGCTTAGAAGGCATTAGATCAGTTAAAGATAGATTCGCTAATATTGAGCATAGGAAGACGTTTGAAGGTAGTGAGGAAAGCTAAGGGGTATTACACTAAATATTAAGCGAAAATTTTATTGTGCTATTATTAAGCAACCCTAAAATTTAATTATAATAGTATAGAACATAAAATAGTAGTGCTATATATTGTGTAAGTGATACATATATTTTGAGAGGGGACCCGAAAAAGTGGAGTGGGAAGATACTTTTGAACGGGTATGTATATTCTATAGTGGACCCAACAAACTTTAAGATTAACGCGGGCGAATTTTCTAGTTCAACTAAACACTCAGTTTTCTCTATACTAAGTGGATAAGTGGTAAATCTTAGCTTGTTAGGGCAAATCTTACGTTTAGACTCGAAGTGGCGGGTAGGGAGAAAGCGGCTATTCTTGCTGAGCTCCTAGACGTTTCTCATCTATATTTCCCTTCTCATAAGCCTATCACTCACTCTTAGGGCCTGATATAGATGTTATCAGGGCTTGGAGGCTGGCAAAACCGCTGTTATCTTCTATCTTTTGTGTTCTTTTGTTTGTTTTGTATCAAGTATACCGCAAGAAGGCTTACAATATTGTCTCTATAAAAGTCGCCCGTTCGCAATAGTCACTCGAGGGCAAGTTATCGGCACAATGGGGATTCGAATTCCTGCCACGTCTCCAAATAAGCAGGCATCCGTCTGTTTGGCTTGTTGCCGGATCAGTATTCTAGAAACCCTGAAACTCTTACGAGTCGAATACAGAGGTCATTTTCTAAATTTCCATTTACGAGTGTAATGAAATACTGCCAAGAAAGGGGTTCGGGGGCAGAGTAACCGTATCGTGTATAGCGTGTTTTGGGACAGGGTCCGGGAAAGAATCTCTGTGTGCAAGTGGTGAAACTGATTTCCATCCTCCTTGTAAATGGTCTGCCTAACGAGCTAAAGAGATGCAATTCACCGGAAAGGCTGCTACGCGTTTGCCTTGACCGCCTAGCTCTCTACGTCACATGCTAACCAATTAGAGCAAATTGTTAAAGCAATTGGGGGTTAAGGGGGAATTAAAGATGCTGGTGAACGCGGCGAACAAGACTGCCCACCACAATCTAGAGTCGTTCAGGCGTATATGAACGTGGTGATGCGGAAATGCGGAGGGTATCAGCCTCTCTTACCATACGTTTTGTACTAGGGGCAGATGGTACAGAATTTGGAGGCAATTTGCAGCTCTAAGATAGCTTGCGGAGTTTTTCTTGAAATACGGCCATATACTATCCACATTACACTGACTAACGAAGTACTCACTACAATTACTTTAAGCAACAGAGATCACCATATACTTTAGGCCCCTCAAAACTTGGATTATATTGTCACTAAACATTGCCCTTTTCCCCGATGCGCTCTTAATATGCGCTGTAGGATTGATTCCAAATACTCATGTATGATGGTAAGCAGCTCATCGAGATAGTACGATTAAGTGGAGGCAAAAGGTGATGGCTAGTCAATCGTTAGTCAATATGCGCGCAGTCTTGTGTTACTAATCCTCGACTTAACATTGAATAAGACTATATAAAAGATAGCGAATGAGCTGTTCTGATTAGACAATATAGTGAGACATAGGCAAATCTCACTCGTTTTATTCGTAGCTGAACTTGGCTTTGTCCGTAAGAAGAGCTACCCTCGCATATCGTTTTTCCATTCGCAGCAAATACACTATCCTTCGAAAACAGTTCAGAGGACTCGGCTTTCATGTGACCTAGGAGCAGATATTTGATGGAGTTCCCGTCCCTGATGCATGCCTGGATCCATGGCGGTATTCCGTCCCGGTCCATGGCATCGGGATTGGCGCCTCTTGAGAGTAGCAGGCTCACCAAGTCTCTGTTCCCCCACAAAGACGGCAAGCCAGAGCACTGTGCTTGGTGATTTTCATGATCGTCACGTGGATGTGGAAAGAAAGAGTAGACTTGATGTCCCGTAGCCGATTACACCTTTTCTAGGTATCTGCTGTCCGTCAGCATAGATTAACTTTAAGCTCGTACTCAGTTCATATCGATTGATTACATATAAGCGGAGTGTGACTTTGGAACCACGGGGAGCCGAACCACGGGCGAATTTAGCACAAGGTTGCGGGCTCGGATGTTCGACGTGCGTCATGTGGCGTACCCGAAAATGGCGGCGGTCATCCGCTTCGGACACTAAATCTTAAATTAACCTGTGGGCAAAAAATATTTAATACTTTGTCCTTTTGTGTTAACAAGTTCGTATTTAGATCAGAAAAAACTGTTCTGATTGTGCTGAGCGGGAACCAAGGTCAGACCGATGCAACAATGGACGCGTCACCACTCGGCAAATCTGGCGGCTGGTCGACAGCCTGAAAGAAGCGATCAACCACCAAACTGCGCTCACTGTATCAATTTAAGCGGACCTGCTTGAAATCACATGAAAATAATAATAATGATCATGATAATAGCTCCGTGCACTTCAGGGCAACGCAACACCTTTTTGCAGACAAACTCTTGGGTGCGTCTCCTATTATCCTTTGATCTCACTAAGTTAGTTCTATTCCAGTGCTATGAAAAACCCCATGATAAGTATTCGTATAACTTAAAAGTTGTTAAATAACATCAGTTGGTGTAGAGGGCCATTATGCTACATGTTGATTGCAAGCATTCATTGAAACTACAGTAGGAGAGTGCAAGGACTTTCAAAATACCAGAATTAGTTTTTGTAGGAAATATCATGGTGCTACATGTTGAACTGCAACTATCAACTAAATCGCAAGTCACAGAAGGAGAGTTGAGCCCTTAAATGACAGAGATAGGATTGATTAAGTAGACATCTGTCGCCGTTGTTAGAAAATTTATATGAATCGATCATATCTGTGTAACTCACTGCATCTAATCACTGAAGTACGCCCCTAGCTTATCAATATCAAATCCTGCCCTTCCGTAGAACCCATATAGCTTTCTACCTTGAGCAGGTTGAATGCATTTGCCACCACCGATTCCTCCAGCCTCGAAGTAGTCCGTCTCGTCATGAGTCACCAATCTTAGTGAATCGGCACGCCCTGTTGACCCGTATATATCCATCCAGTCAAGGGGATCATTGCCATTGCGTTCGAAGTCGAAACTGGTATGCAATGGGCTCGGCTGGTCTCCTGGGGGGCAACTTCCGACCTGGCCAGTTTTACCATCGGGCCATCTGACTTTGATACCCTTCAGGACAATATATCTGTCGGCATCACCACTGCCACTGCCGTACCATACGTCCAGTTGCTCCACGGGCCTATTCCCATTCAGGAGGTCGAACGGCGAGCCACCATCACCTCCAACTGCAGGGCCCTTCTGAACCATGATGTAGAATAAGGATTGGAATAAGGATTTTCTAGATGGATATCCAAAATATAAAGATTCACGTTTGATTGTTTCTTAGGAATGTAGGAAGCGTTCCAGAGGAGATGGATTTCTAGCCATATTTATACTTTTGACCTTCCCCTCCCTAACGAGAGCATATTGGTACTTAGACGTCTCTGTTCTCTCAAATAACCTGCTTCTGTTGTTTAGTTTCGTCATACTTTCTATATTATGTCTCATGATCCATCACATTGCTTGAACGAAAACGCATTCAATGTTACATCACGAATCACAACCATCAACATAACATGGTTACGTGAAAAGTATCGTTGCAGATTCTAGATCATCATATTAATGATAATTAGCTTTTGGATGATTCCTGATGATGCCATTATAGTCTAGACATATGTTTTATGTTCTAACCTTAGGTCTCATGATCCATCACATGGTTTGAACGAAGACGCATCACATAGATATATATCACGAATCACAACTGTCAACATACTACCATGGTTATGTGAAAGTATCGTTGCAGCTTCTAGATCATCATATTAATGATACCCCGCGGGTTACTTGTTGCGGGTCGCCCAAAACCTGCAGATATTGTACTCCTTTTCCTGCTGTGGAAACTGGGAACATGGATTCGACCATAGTATCAACTTCTGCTCTCTACTGCAAAAAAGTTATCTATGAAATTTTGAATAAGTTTGGTGGGTATCTCGTTAGAGTTTCCCGCCTTTGTTTGGCTTTAGTTGTTGATATCCAACAATTTATACTGACACAAAAGGACAGACTACTAACCCTTTTTTAACTTCAGGTTAATTTAAGATTTAGCGTTAGAAGCGGATGACCGCCGCCAATTTCGGGTACGCCACATGACGCACGTCGATCATCCGAGCCCGTAACCTTGTGCTAAATTCGCCCGTGGTTCGGCTACCCGTGGTTCCAAAGTCACACTCCGCTTATATGTAATCAATCGATATGAACTGAGTACGAGCTTAAAGTTAATCTATGCTGACGGACAGTAGATACCTAGAAAGAGTGCAATCAAGCCTGAAACTCATGGTTGCCCTCGTAGCCTTAACCCTGATGAAAGAGCTCTGATAGTTACACAAGATTGATCTAGACTGTAACGTTTCATGTTTGACAGTACTGTTTCAAGTAAACTCGTGAGACTTGTAGTCTACAAAGAGAAGTCTTCTGCTATTGATTTGAATATAGTCTTCCCAAGGTAGATTACTAAGATCTAGTCCGTATCCGCTATGAGGCGTTAGCGCCACAGGATTTCGCGGCCAAGTATAGCCCAGCGGCGGGTTACACGCCTCAACCCAGAACCCTTTAATCTAAGGGTTTTTGGGTAACCCGCGGGGTATCAATAATATGATGATCTAGAAGCTGCAACGATACTTTCACGTAACCATGGTAGTATGTTGATAGTTGTGATTCGTGATATATATTTATTGATTGCGTCTTCGTTCAAACCATGTGATGGATCATGAGACCCATTCCTGTCGAACCTCTTCCGTGGCAATGGCTTTCTCGTATTCCACCATGCCCTCAGAATTATCATTATGTGCACCAAACGCAGTAAGAGGTGTCCACCACGTCTCTAACTTCAGGCATCTCTGCCGAAGTCGCAGTCGAAGCATAGTCTGCTCTCGCTGCAACGTTGATTGGGTTAGGCTGTTAGCACCCTTAGGCTTCCGCGACGGCTGCGTATTAGGGCGGCGGTCAAGCAAGGGCATAGTGTCAAGCTCTTCCCGCGCGCTGTGCGTTAGCTGACGACAGAGGACAGGCATTGTTCCGGGCAATACGAGAGATATGATGTTTCGACTAGGGCTCCCGATGCTATTTATCGTCGCCATTACGATCACCAGAAAGTGCTCCTTGTCACATTCAAAACATATCTCTAATCCGTAATGACTGCAGTTCCTCACTGAATAGCTCGAAATAGAATTAGGTTTCTAGTCAACGGCACGGACTATATTTAGGCGCGTAAGAAAGTTGATTGTATTCTCATCCGATTTTTCTCTCCCGCCGTCCTATAGTAGCAATAACAGCGCCATAGATCTTGAGGTTTATCGTGAAATCAGCGGCGGATTCTTTCTTGACGCTGCCTGAACACATGAGTGTTGCAGTCAAATAAGAAGTTACTCTAAGACTGGGTGCGATGAAGGAATCTGATGGTTAGGACAAGATTTAACGGTGTAAGGAAGCAACGACTAAGAGACATGATGAACGCTTGGTGCATAAATTGCTAAGGCAAAAATAGGACTTGAACGGTTAGTGATAGCCCGTTTAAATTGAGGGGTGGGTGTTCTTTTGGGTCTAAACATTTAGAAGCTAGAGGGCCACCAGGCCCTACGTCCTAATGTATCTGGGCTAGAGCATATGCCTATCACATGACTTAACGGCTATTCGTTTATAAAGCCCTGGCTGATCCTTAGAAATCGGATATTCATGGTCTATTCCTAAATCTGTTAGACACCCTTCTATATGCTCTGCTCTTATGTATCTACCGGCCTGTGATTCTTTTTACGAGAGCGAAGACAATTTGCGAAGCGGGGTAGAGCAATAAGCGAGCGAGCAACTCGAACGCGAATTGTAGGCAATCGAAACATATAAGGATGCTCGGAACTTAGAGCGTTAAATAAGTGTCACACTCACTATCTGCCTAAATTATGTGCAAACCTAGGATCCTCCTACCGTATATCGGGAGTTATATCAAAACTAGTAAGGTGAACCTAGTTATACCTAGTCATGCTAATATAAGATAGGAAGGACGCTATCTTAGAATATTTTAGACTAGACCCCCTTGATTTTCAGCTATACTACGAAGATAGAAGTGGTTGCGTATCGATCGTTATACTAGACCCTAAGTGCCCGCATTAGCGCCGTCGGGCCTTAGGATATATTAAATACGAGAAGAAGGTAGGTTAAGTCACCTTAGCAAATTTATATGCTCAATTTTGGCTCGAGGCTTTATAGCTTAGACACACTTCTAAGTAAGGCAAAGCTAACCTTATAGGATGTTATAGGGAAGGGTTTAATCTAGTAGCTTTAGTAATAGCCCGAAATAGCTATTAGGTAAAGATCGCTATAAGCAACTATAACTAGAGGTTTCCTTTATAGGGTCAATACGGGTCACGCTTCTATTACGTGATATATCCGTCGAAAAAAGCTAATACCGGCTCCTAGATAGACGCGGCCGACGATATAGTTTAGTTGTGTTCGCGCATTAAGAGGGACGTTACTATTAAAATCGGCACAATACGTGATAGAAATACATAGCTAGTTCCGCTTAACGTTTTTATAGAATAGATAGAGATAACGATAGACATCCGCGGCCTCTCTTTCCCTCATATATTATCGAAACCGAAGACGTAGATCTTATTCTAGACCGAAAATTTTAGGGCAACGTCTACCTTAAGGGAATGCTCCTTCCCACGTCTGCTTCTAGGTCTAGGACGTTCAAGTTTGTTACAATTTCGTAACGGGGAAGTTTAGCCGGGATAGGAAAAGGCTGCTTTATAAGCATAAGGAAACCGATATTATGCGGCCTATATAGGAACGTCCTATTCGAAAGCACTAGACCGCTATGCTCCCGATCTATATCAACCTTCTCCGAAACTTCCCTTAAGCAGCCGATGTTAAGTCAGCCGACTAGCTACTAGAAGATTCTAAGAGGAAACTTATATAGCAGCATCTTCTAAGTGAAGCCAATAACAAGATGTTCTACTATAGCGAGAAATGCCACGCTAAGGTTAGTGGTAAAGATTGCTAGAGTCGGATTTACGGTAAACTAACATTGTATAAGGTATTACTATGATCTCTAAAATCTTACAAAAGGAACTAATAATACTCCCTAGAATGCTTTAGGATCTGCTACGTCTAAGCTTAGTAATAAGAACGGCAGAAGAAGAGCAGATCGAACTATTTAAGGATGCGGAGTTATGCGCCCCGCTAGAATCGACGCTCGTAAGGGCGATACTGAGAGCGCTGCGAGCATATACAGCTATGTTTAAACCGACGGAGCACATGGCGATACACTTTGTATAAAGTGGCATTTGCGATGTTGATTTCTCTTTCGATTCAAAACGCGATATATTAAATATCTATTATAAGTGGTTAGATTTTGATACACTACACCGGCAATATTCGTGTAGAGATCCCGGCAACGTGGTAGCATAGGATACAATGTTTTTCTATAACCATATTATTCAAAGGTCGTAGGGATGTTATCGGCGACGATTTACTTACCCGCGTCTATCTCCTACCACAGTGAAACGGAAATGATGCAGGATGTTAGGTATAAGCTTCGGCTAATGCCACATAGAATCATTTTAAAGCAATCTCTACCGGGGGTGTTAGTGGTTTTCTAGGAAGACAACGAGACACAATTATTTTGGAGACTTTACGGTCCATAAGTGACATACCATGTGGTTCTGCACGAGGAGAATTGCATAGACTTAAGCTAGGAGCTCTTACATAAGGACAGAGGTAATTCGTTAGCCATCGTCTAAGTTGTTTCGAGATCCTTACTCCCTCTTTTTAGTCATCTGTCCAGACAGACGTGCTCTATGTGGCTGCACTCAGCGGCTAAGCCAAGGTAGTAAAATGGCGGAGTTCACCCACTTGGATTGTTCGTAACGGTACTTTTCTATGGTCGCTCTGAACACGAGATCAGCAATCTACGGGCTTACTCCCAGCCAATCTTTCCTAGGGGACAGAATCCGAATACAAGAGCTAATGAAATGAAACGCTCCTCTCCAATAGCTGCACAGCATAATCAACCATCGATTTATAGGAAAAGGCAACCAATCATTCCAATTCCGTATAAATCTTGGGCACAATTTTGTATGGGGCTTTGGCAGTCAACCATCCTGAAAAAAAATAGAGTTTGTGTCTAGTCACTTGCAGGACGTTCCACTTTCTCTCACTTTGTTCATCTCAGGGCATAACTGACTTCGAAAGCTACTGTATAAATACTCGCGCTCTCCTGGCTGTCAAGATGCAGTTCTTTTTATTAATCTTACTTCCATAATTGCTGCAGCTGCTACTACAACTCTCCTAAGTCATGATCCATTACCGAATAAGATTACTGTGCGACACGAAAGCTGCTGTGCTGCTACACGCACGTCAGTTGAAGCTGCTAAGAACAAAAAGAAGCAGGCTGGTGACTTTTTCAACAACGACCCTACATATAGCAAGAAAAAAAACAAGAAGCTATGGATCAAGCCATCGTGAACCTTACGGCTTCCGTAAATAACATGGTGAGTGTGGTCTCAGCTCCTTGAATTATAAACTACATATTGAGCTAATATAAAATGGGTAGAGTAGATCACTGCCTATATAGGTGATCGCACAGATACATTGAGTCTTCGTACGCTAGGTCTAAGGAGGACCAGCGATTAGTTTCTGAGGCTAAGACCATAGCTACGAAGTTTGGAGAGAGTATATGTCACGCAGGCCCGAATGGTGGTTTGGTGTGCAATTGTATAGATCACTAGGTGAGAGTCGAATTGAAATTGGCGCAACAATATTTTATAGACTGGAACTTATATTCCTCACCTTTATTATCTGGCTAGCCTCCACATCCCTAGGGGCGTCAATCCTCAATAATTGTTAACCGTCTTCCACAGCAACAAACAAATAATGTTGTTTAAGATCGTGTTCAAGCTGATCTGAACAAACCAATACACGCGGTTACAACACTAGATAACGAATGACCGTGGAAAATCATTTCGATGGACGCAAACGCTGATGATCCGTAGTCTTAGGCCCTTCACCAAGAAATGCACCATTGTTTTTGGTCAAAGCGTCCTCTTTCGTCCTGATTGCCGAATCAACGGGCCTTAGCCTATATTCGGCCTTGGCCATATTCTTTCAAGACCTAATGACGCATATGTGCTCAAAAGAATTGAGACCTATGGGAGAAGCTGACAGAGGGCGAGGGCCAAGAGGCAAATGAAGAAGACGTTGCGCCAACCAGTGAGGTTGGAAAGTCTGAGAACACTGAAGATGTTGAAGGAGATGTTGTAGCCGAGGAGGCAGCAAATCAAGTGGAAGGCATATTGGCAGACATCTATGTATCCGACCATGGTCGGCAACCAACCATTATTCTGGGTAAAATTGTTAATATTGGTGGTCAATAGATGACTACTGGCTGGTGATGGGAGGAATGGGACGAAGAACTACTCCCAACGTGGACCCAGCAAGTGCTGGTTTCTGGTGAGTGTTGGCTGCATCCGTGCATGCCCATCCAGGATTAGCTCGTAAATGCTCCTATCTCTAATTGGGTCACCATGGAAACAATGTTGGCGCTACCAACGGACCCGGCCTAGCTCGCCATGAGGCACGTCGAGCGTTATCTAGGCCTCGCCAAAACCCGCCCACGAGTCTGCTGACTAATAACTGCCCCAACTCGAGGGCGGGTTTCGATTTGGAAAACCCGACCCAAGACCCAAACGGGTACTAATTGCAGCCCACAAAAGCAAAAAAGTTGACCTGTCGACTTACATTAAGGTACAGATATTGGTCAAAGTATTTACCCACTACCCCACTTATATTTGACCCAGCAACCAACCCACCTTTTTATTTTTCTTCCTACACCTCCCCTGGGCATCCGATTTCAATAGAAATTGGCCCAAAGCGTAGGGGAAAAGGCTGAATTAAGTCCTGAGCAAAGGTCAGCTATTGTCTACGCTTATAGGAGTGGTATTTCGCAGTCAAAACTAGCCAATGATTTTAGCTGCACCCGCAAGACTATCTACAATACGCTTAAGCGCTTCGAGGAACAAGAATCGATTGAATCGCTTCCTCGAACCGGCCGTCCTTCGAAGCTAGACCCTCGAGCTAGCACTTGCCTCTATTTACAAGCGCGCCGGCACCTATTTTGGACCTATAAACAGCTTAGTGCTACGACACCCGGTCATCCGTCTCGGTCTACTATACAGCGAGTTTTAAAGCAATTCGGACTCGGAAAACGGCTAAGATTTGCGCGAAAATAGCGGTGTGAAAGCTTCCAATCGTGGATCTTCTTAGACGAGTGTTCGGTGCAGCGAACCTCAAACTTTAGACCACAATGGTGCTTTCGTACGGTCTTGGAGGGCCTTCGTAAAGACCTTGTGAATACGAAAGTACACGTTAAAGATATTTCACAAATGGTTTAGGCCGGAATTTGGCTAGGAGGTCGAACAGATTATATAATCATGGAATAGGACGAAGAATCGCCTTTGGGAAGGGGTTATACTACGAAGTCGTATATTTCGACGCTCGAAAAAGGTCTGATGCCAATCTATACCCCTAATTTAGTATTTTAGCAAGATAACGTGAGGATTTACCTAGCAAAGGACACGTAAGAGTGGTTTAAAACTCACGGAGTATACGTCAAAGTCTAGCCCGCGCACTTACCCGATTAAACCCAATTGAACCGGTCTGGCGTTGGTTAAAATTGAAGCTTTTTGCGATGTTTCTAGAGCTTATTGGCCAAGGAAGATCGGAGGCAGACTGGCATTATTTTAAAAAATGCCTAGTGGAAGCTTAGAATGCATTAGATCAAGCAAAGATAGATACGCTAATATTGAGCATGGGAAGACGTTTGAAGGTAGTGAGGAAGGCTAAGGGATATTACACATAATATTAAGCGAATTTTCGAAAGTGCTATTATTAAGCAACCCTACAATTTAACGTAATTCACTACCGAGCTGATCACACCACCGAGCTGATCACCCTACCAAAAACGCGTCAATGAATTAGACTCTCTCTATTCAACCACCCACTATGCCACTAATTCGTACTTAATCCTCTCAAAAACGTACGGAGCAAGAGGGTAGGGTCTTATTAGCTATTTAGGCTATTTAGAAGCAAGAAATTGCTTTAATTTGCGAAGTAGCGCGCCAATTCAAAGCCGCGCGTTTTCGCGTGCAAATTGTCTAAAATTGACTGAAATTGAAGAGGAATCTCTTAAAAAATAGATTCTCTCTATAGACTCTCGTGGAGTAGCCCCTTAGCCTTCTACTACACGAAAAATAGCCAATTTGCTACTTATAGCGCGCGGATCTACCCCTCCTCTTTTAGTCGGTCAAAATTGGGTTACAAAATACGTTAAAAGGCATCCCGACCTTTCCTCCCGATTCCCAAAAAGCTATAATTTTAAACGAGCTAAATATAAGGATCTGAAGATTATTTCTAAATAATTTTCTCTTATTTAAAAGACGATTCTAACGTACGGGATCGACCCCGACGATATCTATAACTTCGACGAGACCGGTTTTGTAATAGGCTTAATTACGACCGCGAAGGTTATCTCGAGAAGGGATATCTACAGTCGGAAATCGCGCGTAGGTGACCGTAATTAAGTGTATAAACGCGTTAGGGTAGGCGATTCCTCTATACGTGATTTTTAAAGGCAAAGTTTTTGTTAAATCTTAGTTCGACGGCCTTCCGGAAGACTAGAGACTTAAGGTTAGTCCTAACAGATAGACCTCCGACGAAATTGGACTTCGATAGCTTAAAAAGCTCTTTATTCTATCTACTTCCTCGCGTATGAAGGGGAAGTATAGACTTTTAATACTCGACGGCCACAGAAGTTATTTAACCCCGGAATTCGATAAAATTTGCGAAGAAAATAATATTATCGCAATTTGTATACCTCCGCACTCGTCTTACCTTTTATAGCCTCTCGATATAGGCTATTTTACGGTATTAAAGCGCGCGTACGGTCGACTTATTAAGTTAAAAATACGGGCTAGAATTAACTACGTCGATAAACTAGACTTCCTTAAAGCCTACCCTCTCGCCCGAATTAAAGCGTTTAAATCGGAGACTATAAGTAATAGCTTCGCCGCCGCCGGTCTAGTACTATACGATCCTAATTAAGTGATCTTAAAGCTCGATATTCGCCTTTAAACCCTAACACCCCCCTTAAGCTAGGGAACCGAGTAGTCGCTAAAAACGCCGTCGAACTATATCTAATTATAAAAGTAAGCTTCCTTAATTAAAGCTTTACTAAAATAGCGCTCAAAAAGCCTATTAAGCCCGCTTAACTCCGCGATAAATTAGGTTTTAAAGGCCTACTAAATTACGATATAACCGGCAGCAATTCTCGAGAAAGAAGTAAGCGATTTACGCCCTATAAATAAGACGAAAAGCGAAAAAAGTCTAGGCCAGCAAGGTAGATACCTTCCAAAGAAGGCCTCTTAGTTTTAGAGGCCTCTACCTTATTAGGGCAGCTAGAGTAAGCAGTTTTAGCAGCGATACCCTATAAGGTAGGGCCGGCTTAGGCACCTTCTTAGCCACGTAAAAGAGCCTTACCGACGTATAGTGTTTGTGGAGTTAAGGGTTATAAATTAACAGCATATCCTAATAGATCTCGGGTTTAGTTTATTGAATTTAATAGCGTTTTGGTTGAAATAATTGGGTTTAAAATTAATGGGTTTGGTAGGGTATCAGCTCGGTAGTGAATTACGTTAATTATATTATGTTAAAACTGGAGATACGATGAATGATGCTAGGAAGCTATGGTCAAGGCCAACGAGGTTGTTTATGTCTGATCTCTCCTCCATGAGAGAGAGATCCTATTTAATGAGAAGCGTTTCTCCTGAACTATACTCTACATGGTAGGTCAATGCTAATCACGAGATTCATGCTTGGTGAAGCAGGCATCTCCGGGCATGAAATGCCTGCTTCGCCAAGCATGAAGCTTATGATCAGCATTGACCTACCATGTAGAGTAGCCGTGTCACAGGACCGCCCCCCACCCTCGCGGGTAGGGGGTGTCCCTCAGCCATAATGCAATTCTCAGCCATAATGTAAATTTTCGATTTTTTTAAGTTCTAGCTCATTTTCTAGGCGTATAAGGTCTAGGATCTATGAAATAAAGTCTATCAATAGCTTCATTAGCCAATAATGTATTATCTTCCTTATTTTCAGCTGTTTCCTCTAATTCCTTAGCCGCCAAATCGGCCGCCATTTTCTCTGCGTCTTTCCGCTAAGCAAGAAGCTTCGATTTATCTTCTTTCTTACACCTTCGCTGTACTAGCCTATTTCCTGAAATTGATGACAGAGGGCTTTTCGTAGCTATCGCTTACTTTTTGACTTTTTCCTAGGCGTTTTGTGGCTAAGGGCGTAAGGCTTATCTCTATAAGTTCCGTATTATATAGAGACGATTTTCCGGCATTAATTGCGGGCCATATATGCTTCCGAATTTTTCGTAAATTAGGAGTAGGGTTTTTAAGTAGTGGGGAAACCGTATCCTCTAATTTCTTAATACCCGCATAGGAATTAGGCGGAGAAATTGGTCGCTAAACTTGGGAATTCGCGGGCGGCTGATGGTGACGGCTCGTTATATATGCGTAACGTCTCTCCGTCCGAATCCTATCCTAAACGACCTAAAACTTGTTTAGGATCTAGTGGCTAAATACTAGTAGATTTAAACGAAGTTTTGATAGTTTGTGACCTTAGGGCGGAGCGTCGGACGGTATCAATATTGCGGAAAAAGTCGCGTTTTTTATTGCTTTTACCCTACGCTATAACTTTAGTATTCGCTATTTTAAAATAATGCTTTAGGCTTAAAAAAGCCTTAGCATTAAACGGCTAATATAGGTAAGTCGTGTGAGGCATAAAATACTAAGGAATAATCAAGTTTTCCTTACAAAAATCGAGAAATTCGATAGCTATATGTGATGTATAAGTCTATTAGCAAAAGCCTCGGTCGCCCGCGTCGTACGCGGTTTTTTGTAGCTTTATAAAATGAGCAGAGCTATCGGTAGGCAGTCTTACGATCTGTCTAGTAACTAGACGTTAAATAGATGATTTTATACGCCGAAGAAGAGGTTGATATATTGCTATACTAGCCTTCTATGTGGACGCTTCCTTTAACTATAAACCACGGAAACATTACCTAGCTATTAGCGGCGACGTATTCAATGCCGGTAATAGTTTTACCTCGATCTCTAGTAGCAATGCTAGTAGTTTGACGCGTAGAGATAACGTGTTAGTTAAGTCCTTCGCTATTTTGGAAGCTAGTTTCATCCCAATTATAGATCTTATAAGATTCGAAATTATGCTCACGATAGAGATAAGCAAGCCTATTATACCAATAGCTAATAACTCTAGGATCCTTGGCTTCAATTCGTAAAGTTTGCTTCGGTTTTTAGGTGACAAGCTTAATATGTGGAGGTAGACGGTCTATAAACTGATATATATATTGTGAGAGGGGACCCGAAAAAGTGGAGTGGGTAAATACTTTTGAACGGGTATGTATGCTGCATTTTTCGATCCCCCAGTGTATTTACTTGTTTCAACCTGTTGGGGACTTTGATCTATTATCCTTGATGTTTGCAGATAATTTGCAAAGAAAACGATGTATTCGCGAATAAACGCCTTCTCACTGGAGAGAAGGGGACGGAATGGATGTGATTTGCTGGCTTGGCTGCCTCTTTGGCCAGCCCATCCGCGGCGTCGTTTCGAGGATCTTCGCAAATTCCGGGCATCAATTTAAAGCGTCGTCGACCTCAAACTCCCCCTGAACGAATAAGCTCGGACGACCAATGATCTGTCGAGAGGAAAAGATAAAGTAAACGTGGGCGTCAAAGTAGCGACTATCGTCCAAGCCCTTGGTCTGGGGACTTGAAAGGTGAGCTACATTGAACTTATGGATTCAATGTCGCGCATAATGAGGGGCTCACGATTAGACGCTGCTGTTCGTCTGCCTTTTCTCCATCAAGTTTCATTGAAGCGTACTTAGGGTGATAGAAATCCTGGAATTATTTATGAAGGTCAACTAGGTGATGAAATGGATGGACTATCTATCATTGATTGACAATGACGTCTAATGCAATGATACATGTACAACTAAGTAACATTGACCCGGTTTTTAACTGCCTGCACCTAGCGGAGGTTGGAGTTAAAAGGAATGGTTGAGACACCACCCACCTATGCTCCTCTTCCCTGACATTGCCACACCATCTGTTGGTTTCCGACTTATCCAATTTAGGTATCACTGGCACCAATCAGGCTGGGACATTGCCAGCGGCAATGTATAGGAGATGTCTTGTCTGTTAGCGCCACTGCGAACGTCTGACGTCTGACTGACAAATTATTCTAGAAATGATACATCAGTTTTGTCGTTTAACTGGCAATATACAGATTCCAAAAGAACGGCGCGCCCTTGCTCTCTAATTCACTAAGAGCACATGAGCGGAAATTCCTGCCTTACGATATTTTGATTGTGTTTATATCGACTGCATCCAGGGTGCTCATAAAACTATAGATGTAATTTGATAGATGGAAGAAGGCACTAATAAAAGTCAATTTCAGGCAATATATATAGTTTTAGATTCGCCTTTACGAACCTTTTTTAAGGTTTCTGTTATTATTAAACCGCATTCACAATCCCCATTCCCTCATCGATTTGGCATCTCGCTCCCACTCGTTTCGCTGATCACTGCTCTATGGCTTGAAATACCATTCATCTCTGAGACTGCGACAGAAGCCTAAGATTTCTTTACGTCGGTGTATGTATCTGGTTGATTCTCCTCGATAATCTGCTCGGCGGAAGCGTATGCTAGGAAAACATCTTGTAAAAGAATAATAATTCCGTCATCAGAGACGTGGCTATTGCCATAACTTAGTGAGATTGCTCCTTTTGCAATAAAGTCCAAAGGATTATCGTTTTTGTCCTGAATCGCTCCCGGGGATTGGGGTTGGAGGCCGTTTGGTTGGGAGGAGGTGGCGGGGTGTT